TAATACTGCGCCTCACAATTAATAAATTTACTAGATATACTACGGCATTACACTACTCAAGTGATAAACACCACTCGCTCCTTTTTGTCTTACCCAAATTAAAATCTAGCTAGTATAGTTAAGAATTAAAAAATAAACTAATTAAGAAATAATTTTCTTTAAAAAAATATTTTCAGTTGAAACTCACTCATCATTATCATAACTATTTATATTTTTTTCTACTCATTTGATAGTCAATTGGTGAGTAGCAGTAATTGTAATTAACATGGCCCAAAGGCTGGAAATACATAGAGGTAAACAATTATAAAAATTGAATAACTCTATAACTAACCAGTCTAATGTAAAAATCTACTTATAAAATTTTACTAATATTTTGTGTATATTTTATATTAACTCTATCAACTAATAATTTCAATATTCTATGTATGAAATTTTGCTAATCTAAATCTGATGCTATATCACCCTTGTACGTCAGTAATCGCTTTCTTCTTTTTACGTTTTTTCTTATTCAGTTATTATCTTTGTCTCGTCTGAAATGGCCTTAAAGTAGTCTTTTACTGAAATTTTTGTTTAAATTTGTAAATTCTTCAACAACCTTCTTACAGTTTCCGATGTGTGACGATGTGTGATGATGGTTTAGTTGACAGCGCAGGTGCTGGCGTTAATGTTAATTCAGTTTCTAATTAGTTTGTCGCATCAAAATATAACTCTTTATCTACTGGACTGTTGTGTAGATGAAGTATTTGTTGACTCGAAACGAACTTTTTCGTTGGTCCCTTAAACTTATAATTTTAATTTTACCAAATAATTCTTGTTGACTCTTTATTGAAGTCCACATTCAAATTCTTCTTCCATCGCCAATTTATAATCATTTTTGATTCGTTGTTAAAGTATAACAATATTTTTACTTTATATAATATGTGCTCATGTTATTACAAATACCATCAAAATGAGCTTTTGTGTAACTCGAAGTTATATTTAATTACGTGATTATTAATAATATGGACTAATTAAAACTTGTACTATGTTACTCAACAGAAATCTTATATAAACAATATAAAGATTTAACAGCCCAGGACATTACGGTACTCATTACAGCAGAGTTCCCGTTCTGATTTTTTCATTTATATTTAGTATATTTAAATATTTTACTTGCTGTTATTTCATGGCTCGATATCGAACTCCTTACGAATGACCACCTTTTACTCCACCAGATGGTCCTCTTACCTATGGACAAACCTCGCGTGGTGACTATACTTAGCTTCTGGTACTCCCACACAACGTACAGCTTACTATATGGCTCCTAGATCAGGTTATGGTATACCTTTATTTAGGTGGTATTCCACCAATGATAAGTACGTCAACATCGAAATTAATAATAAAAAATTTATTGTAGAATTAGAAAAATTTAAGAATAAGACAAGTAATAGGAAAAATAGATTACAAAAACTATACTTTATTAAAGTTTTTATATCAGATAATATCGGAAAAAATTACAAGTTATTTGGAGTCATAATGAATTCGATGATATATCAGATTTTAATGTAAAAATTGAAGAAATGAAAAAGGAACTTATGAACAATGCATCTTCGATGTTAGACATTGAAATTATCTGTAATAATATATTAGTTGACGAGTATAATCTGCGTTGGAATAATTTTATAATTGAAGGTTACTATAGAAAATGGGCCAAAGATCTTAGTTATCTTAACAACTAAATAACTGAAGGCAGAAATGATGCTGTTAAAGCAATTAAAACAATTAGTGTTGTTATCAACATAAGTTCTGATATTAATTGGCCAATTTCATTTATGCTAATTCGTAACAAATTAAAGTAATAAATTCATCAACTAATGCAACGGATACTCAAACTAGAGTTTTTAGAATTAAAAATTTCATTCAATCGACCAACTTACGATGTTTTGTATCAAAGGAGAGTTTGAGGTTTCATCAAATAAATATGTAAGATGCAATGATGAAGTGGAAACATGGAACCATTTATGGAAGTCAGTGTACAGAAAATAAATGTGTTTTATTTGATCTATGGAAAGAAGCAGTTAACGTCTTTACAGAAAATGGGGATGAATGGAGGAAAATTATGATTTGGTCACGCTAAAATCAAGATTATTTCCATTGGAAAATTTATTGTATATATGAGATTACGCATGGAATAATTAATTTTAAAATTTGGAAGTACAAACATTGTAAGGTTGAGGAGATGAATTGATCAGTGATCTATATATATGACGCTTATTGTTCATAATAAACTAGGGTAATTAAGTACAAGTTAGTGAGCTTTTAAACATTATATTATATAACTATCCCTTAAATTGTAAGGGTTAAAATTAATTTTAATAATCTTTGAAGTTTTAAGAGCTCACATTATTACATTATTAAATTATTAACAATTTGATAATAAATATGGTGCAAACCCATTATTTTTGATTAGTAATTTGATAACAAATAATGGGTATGCACCATTTTTTTAATGGTTTAATAAAGAAATGGCATGAACCATTTCTTGTTAAGTGATTTAGATAATAAAAAACAGGTTCGCACCATTTAATTATTAAATCAATTAAAAACTGTGCAAACCTGTTATTTGTTATTAAATTTTTTTAATGACAAACAGGTTCACACATTTTTTTATTAAATCAATTTAAAACAGGAGTGAACCCATCAAATTGCTTATCACCGTTTTCATGTCGATCACTTAGATTGTAAAAAAAAGTTTTCTCGAATATAAAACTTATATTTTACTAAGACAAAACGCAATTTTTTTTTCCATACGAACATACTGCCTTATATAAACCTTTAACATAGGTTTATAATATATAAAAAGTTCTTTTATCACGAAACTTGCTAATATTTATAAGAATTTTCGCGATTTTTTAGCATTAAAAGTTTATATTACAAAACAGTAAGTTGCTATAAAAATACGCGATTTTTTTTTCTATATAAATATATTGCTTTATATAAGATTCTAATATAAATTTTTATAATATATAGTTAATTGTTTATTACGAAACTCACAATATTTTGTTGAAATTCTTATAATTCTTGCTTACTAAGGTATATTATATGATTTTTTTTATGAAGTTTTTCTGAAAAATTAAAGCTATATTGTGGTTTAATTTTGTTTTAAATTTATTATTATTTAGTATTATTTCAAAAAAATGGTAAAGACTTTAAGAAATGATATAAGATAGCGTATCATTTACCATCAACTTGATGGATTTTTGGCAAAAGAAACTGCACTTAGACTTTATATTGGCATTACTACTGTATATAAAATTAGAAGAATTTACGATCATTGGGGTTGTGTAACTCATTCATTTAAAGGTTATCAAGGAAAAAGAAAAACTTTGAATCTTGTTGATTTAAATGTATTGCTTTAATTATTAATTTATCATTATTGCAAATTTATTTTATTGATTGAACATTTTTATTACAGACTTTAGATTCACTTGTAAAAGATAAGAAAGATTGGATGAGATGTAAAGGTTAATGGGCAAGCTCATATCAATACCTACTTTATGGAGAGCACTCAAACATCTTGGAATAACAAGAAAAAAGGTTCTATAAGATTTTAATTCATTTTATTTTATTGCTTAATTATTAATTAAATATTTCTATTCTAGTTACAAAAAGCTGCAAAAGAAAGGAGTGAGCTTTTACGTAGCGTTTTTATGTATAAAATAGGAAGTAAATTCAAACCGGAACAGCTTGTTTTTATTGATGAAACATCAAAAGATGAAAGGAGTTTATCCAGAGCCTACGGATATAGCATAAAAAATGTAAAGGTTGAAAAAAGTATTGTTTTTGTGAGAGGTAAATGGTATACTATTTTACCAGCATTGACATTAGATGGATTTATAGCTGCTGATATCATAAAAGGAAGTTGTAATAAAGTAAGATTTCAGATATTTATTCTTACACAAGTGGTATGTTGCTTATCTATTTACTTATTTTATTTAAAATAAATGTATATTTTATATTTGTTTTTTTAGTTACCTCAAATGAATGAATATCTGAATAAAAATAGTGTAATTGTAATGGATAACACAAAAATTCATTATGATGAAAAATTGACAGGATCAATTGAACAAATGGGATGTAAAGTACTTTATTTGCCTCCATACTCTCCAGATTATAATCCCATCGAAACAGCTTTTTCTGGAATTAAATCAGGGTTAAAAAAATATAGAATATTTGTGTAAAGCTGCACCGATCCCAAATATCTACCTTTATTAGCATTGTCTCATGTAACACCTGATATGGCAAAAGTTTATTTTAATGAATCAATTTTTTCATATTAATAAACTCAATTTGTGCATTTTAATTGTAAATCAAAATCATTTTATAAATTTTCAAATAATATTATTAATTGAATAAAAGAATATAACAAAAAAATGTTATGATATAAATTTTTTTGCTTCTTTAATTAAATTTAATCTACGTCCCATTATTTCTATACCAAATTCATTTAATAAAATTTCAGGACTCATCTCTGCAATTTGTGATACAGTAATCTCCTCCTCTTCAAATTTTTTACAAAACTTTGTATATTTACCTTCACCATATTGTTTATCAAGTTCTTCCAAAAACTCTCATAGATAATTCAAGAAATTTTGTATTATTATTATTATTATATAAAGTATCAGATTGTAAAGTTGAAATATTTGATGGATGTGATAATGTAAATTGATGGTAATTGTTGTGATGATTGATGTGAATGTGGATGCGATGGTGGATGTGATTGTGGATGTGGTGGTGGATATGATGGCCATCCATAATAATAAGAATAAGCATTCGGTTGTGGAATATTATAATGGGAATAACAGTTTATAAATTTATTACTTGCTGATGCTGTTGACGATTGATTTGATGATGGAACCTTTAGAGAGTTTTCCCTTCCAAAATTAGGACGTGGTGGTGGAGTTTCATAATCACAATGGTTCTTATACTGTAATTAAAAATATGTGTTAAAATAAAAAAATAAATAATTGTTTAAATTAATATAATTACAATTTCATTAGTCCACATAGATAAATGTAATGTTGTGAGCGGTAAATGTCTATCATCTTTGATGTAACAATATCCTGTTTTATGGATATTACATCCATGCTTTTCTTTGAATTTCTTATGAATTTCCCCTTTCATAAGATCGATTTCATCCAAATTTGATTCTTTAGGAACGGAAGTTTTCTTTTTTTGTTTTGAAGGTGGCGTAATCTCATTTTCTTCACTTATAGATTCTTCATCATCATCTAATATTAAATGGTTATAAATTAAAAATATAAATAAATTAATAAATTAATAATAATATTAAATAAATAAATGTTTAAGAAATATAAATACCTTTTTCTTTTCGCTGTTTCTTTTTTTTAAATAGTGACGGTAATCAACAAAACTTTATTAGAGCTAGTTAACCTATAATATTCTTTTATGAATTCTTCAAAATCTTCCTCTTCTAAAATAGTACTAGCTCCTATTCCTTTTTCTGATTTATATGATAATTCATAATCATTATGAACTAATAAACCAACTTCTTAACAAATCCTTTGTAGTATTAGTTCTTCAAATTCATAATAATAATCAACTGGCTTTTTTTCTAAAGTAATTGCCTTCGCTGGTTTGGTTAAATCAGGTGTTTTAATTAATAGTTTAAAGCAAAAAGATGAATCTGAATTAGGCGTGTTATCTACTTTAGAAATTTTATCAGATTGCTTTATAGTTGTTTCACTTTTTTCATTTATCAAAATCTGATTATTTTCTTGCGTTGGATCTTTATTTTTCTCACTTTTATTATAAGTATTTTGATCTCTAGTTAGCTGACTATTACATTTGGAACATAAAGTAAAATTAAATTTTTTTGAAAAATTAGAATCATATCCATATAATTGATTACTAGGATGTAATAAAGCAACTAATACACTGTGACATTTGTTAGGATCATATACACCATTTCTAACGAAACCAAGTTATACTTTTTTTTTTACTATTAGTTGGTTTAATAGTTTTATTACAACTACAATTGTCAATTGCTAAATTAGAGTTACAATAAAGGCACTTTTGACATGAATAACAGGTTCCCATTTGATACTCTCGTTCTTTAATACTAAAGGTTTCAGTTTTTTTATAAGCTTTATAGTCTTTACAATCGTTCACTGCAAAATTTTTGTACACAGAAATTAAATTTTCGTGTTTGATATTTGTGATAATCTTTAATTATTAATAATTGGCACATGAAAAGTGGATAATATTATTGGATAATTTTAATCATTATTGAGTTTTGAGTTTTGCACGTGAACTACTATTACAAAAATAACAAATACACATATTTCTGAAAACGGCGATAATAACAAATGGCGAAATGTTTTTTTAATGCAACATTATGAAAAAACATTTTCGCAACGTTTTTTTCTAATACAACATTATGAAAAAACGTTTTCGCAACGTTTTTCAATAAAATATCAAAAAAAACGTTGCAAAACGTTTTTTTCTAATATAATGTTATAGAAAAATGTTTTCGCAACGTTTTTTAATAAAATATCAAAAAAAATGTTGCAAAACGTTTGTTTCTAATATAATGTTATAGAAAAAATGTTGCAAAATGTTTTTTCCAATATAACCTTATAGAAAAAATGTTGCGAACCGTTTTTTTCTAATATAATGTCATAGAAAACGTTTTCCACAACATTTTTTAATAAAATATCAAAAAAAATGTTGCAAAACATTTTTTTCTAATATAATCTTATAGAAAAAAGTTTTCGCAATACTTTTCAATAAAATATCAAAAAAAAGTTGTGAAATGTTTTTTTCTAATAAACCTGACGTTTTTAATTAAAATAATCAATTTTTTTTGATTTTTTAATTATAAAAACACCAAGCTGGACATTTTTAATTAAAAAAAATTGATTTTTTTGATTTTTTAATCATTAAAATGTCAAGTTTGACGTTTTTAATCAAAAAAAATAATTTTTTTCATATTTTAATAAAATGATCGACATATTGTTAAAAAATGTTGATTTATTCATGATCTGTCAAGTTAACATTCTTTTTGAGCAGCACAGTTAAACTCAGCGCAAAAAGTTTCCATAGTGAATGTTCACTTTCTCTGTACATGTACATGTACATGTTCATGTTCTTGCTCTTGTACTTGTACATGTACAAATACTTAAGATTAAATTGTATGGAAAGCCGTCCTTGACAAAAGGTTGATGTCCAAACATCATGAAATATAATATTTAGACATCATGATGGTATGTCTAGACATCATGTTT